TTCTGATGAAGGGTCTAGGCCCGAAACGTCAGCCTTCCTGCTCCTGTGATGCTGCTTGGCCTGCTGTGTTATTCAGCTCTACACCTTGTTATCTCTTTTCGGAGTTCTCTGTCCAAAGACAGGTTTCATCCATGGCACCAAAATCTTCATCATGGGTAAGACTAGGGGGCAGGTCCTGAATCCAGCATAGCCAGAACAGAGATTGTAGGTCATGCTATTGGCACCAATATGACCTATACTGGCCATCCAGCCGATTGAGCTAACCAGCTCCTGAAAGGAGTCAAAGCTGCTGTGTCAGCTAATACATTTATATGTATGTATTAGTCTGGAGCTATGGATAGTGATGGCAGAGACTCCAATTTCTTTCCATAAAAGAGCTGACCACAAATGTCTCCCACTGTTAATGCGCATCACTGATATGTGATGGAAGGATTTGCAGGTTGATACTCAACCTGTGTGGCTGCATTGTAATGACTCCTTCCTTGGCCATTGAGTCCTGGAGCAGGACTCAAACCCAAAGCTCTGGCTCAGAGGCAAGGACTTTACCCCTGTACTACAAGACCTCCTGAAGGACATCTTAACTATTGGTAATGAAGCACTGGATGAGTGAAATCTTATTCAATTGTTAAAGAGCTGGTTCACGCACTGTAAAGAGCCAGCCAACAATCTAAAGAGCCCACGGGTGTGGTCAGATTAATGGTAATTTAGAAACAAAGGGGGTTTTCTTCAAACCAAAGCTGTATTTACAGTCCAAACTCAGTCTGAAGATGAAGTCCGAATCTAACCAATCTACAGGATAGCTGAACTATTGCTAGTGCAAATCCATTACAAAATCCAACTCAATGGATATAATACAACATTGAAGCAAATTACTGCAGATGCTGGAACCAGTACTGAAAACAAAAAGTACTGGAGATCACAACAGATCAGGCAGCATATAACACTGGCATCGTTTTGGGAGGAGCCAACTGCCCTGCAGGGGTGGGGGAATTAAAAGAACTAAGATTACATTCTTCAACATTGTAAGGAATATAAGACGATCTAACTGCAACAAAGATTTTAAATGGGCTTGACAGAGTAGACACTGAGAAAATGTTTTACCCCTGGCTGGGTGGTCTACAAAATGGGGTCAGAGTTGCAGAATAAGGGGACAACACATTTAGCACTGAGATGAGGAGATCCCTTCATTCAGAATGCTGTGAACGTTTGGAATTCACTACTCTCTAGAGCTCTAGAAAGATATTCAATTATTGAATATACACAAGGCACAAAGGTTCACAAACTTTTGGATTTCAAAGGAATCAAGGGACAGGTGGATCATGTGTAAAGAAGGCAGTGAGATAGATGATCAGCTATGATCAAACTGAATGGTGGAATAGGTTCAAAGAGCCAACGGGCCTATTCCTACTCCTATTCGGGGATGCAGTGGTGCAAGTGTAACGTTACTGGACTAGTAACCGAGAATCCTAGACTAACGCTCTGGGAAGATAGGTTTAAATCCATGGCAAATTGTGAAATTTTGGATTCAATAAAAAATTGCAATTGGAAGTTAGCCTAGTGCTGACAATGTAACCACTACTGACTATAATAAAATCCCATCTGGTACACCAATATCTTTTAGGGAAGGAAATTGTCAGCCAAACCAGGTGAGGGCAGACGATGATTCCAGGCCCACAGCAGTGTGGTTAACTGTTAGCTGCCCTGTGAAATGGCCCTAGCAAGCTACTCAGAACTCAGATCAAGGGGCAATTAGGGGTGGGTAGCAAGTCCCTATATCCCATAGATGAATGAAACTTTAAGTTTTCATGTTTGGCAAAGACTTAACAAGGATATACAATAAATGTCAGGTTTGTTGGCAACACACAGCTCCCTAGAATAACACACAGCTCCCTAGAATAAATCTGAACAATTTTATAAAATATTCTCATAGAAGCTAGTGATGCCCTGTCAATTCAATCCAATTAGCCAGAAGGAAAACAACAAACCATGGCAACGAATTAAGTGCTCTGCATCAACTTGAATCACCTGCATTGCAAAATTGGAACCTAATTATTTAGATGTATGAAGGACATAGTAATAAGAAGATCTATAATATCATAGTCAACCTTAGAGAGATGAGCGCAGGAGAAGGAAGCACAGTGTATACCTGAGTCCAGAATATGGTTGTTGCGCAAGTCCATTAGCTGGATGGTGCAGTTGAATTTTAGGAGGTTTCCCAGCTGTGCTGAGTCCTGCAGTCCATTCAATTTGTTATCGGCCAAAAACAGCTCTCGCAGTGTCATGTTCATCTTCAACGCAGTTGCTGCCAGGTGGGATAACAGGCACATAGTAAGGTACAGGATGCGGGTACCACAACGGCCCACGATGCTGGCACCATTCTACATTACGAACCAGCTATCTATCCAACTGTGCTGACTGACCTCCAACAAAAGGGTAAAGTCACTATTGGCTTACCAGACCAGACAGCTTGGCATGGACTTGAAGGGCTGAATAACTGCCTTCTGTGCTATGACTATTCTAAAATCCAGGCAATTAAACTATAACTGAATTTTACTTCTCTTACCCAAGAGCATGAGTGGTCGGCCGGATAAACTGGCATTTTCCAGATGCAGTACCACCAGGCTGCTGCTGATTCTTAAAGCACGAGCAACAAAGGGCGCGGAATGGTCGAGGAGAGGGGTGTTCCTTGCATCCAGGTACTGCAGGCAACTGGTCTGCAAAGGAGAAGAACAATATTCATCAGAAGGAGATTGACAAGGGTAGTTTAAAGCAGTGAGAGATGCATAAGCCTACTGGTGTAATGCGAGAAGAGCATTGTAAACAGGGCACAATTACAACGTTTAAAAGACATTTAAATAAGTACATGAATAAAAAAGGTTTGGAGGGATACAGGCCAGGAGCAAGCAGGTGGGACTAGTTTAGTATGAAATTATGTTTGGCATGGAATGGTTGTACTGAAGGGTTTGTTTCCATGCTGTATGACTCTACGCCTTCTCAGAGTTCAAGAGGAATCAAATCATTTACCATTTCACTCCCAGGGTAAACCATCCACCTTGTAGCCAATATAGCTCAGTACTACAGCAAGCAATAAACTTATAAGGTAATCCATCGGGATTCACTCAAGCATTTAGTTTAATTGAGCCCATTTAATGCTGCAGATACAGTTCTCCCATTGTGTGATGTGGCAATTAGACAATAGGTTAGCCTACAGTCCAATGACTTTTGTGCACAATCTCCATTTGACACTTGCGGCACAGTGGTAGTGTCCCTACCTCTGGGTCAGGAGGCACAGGTTCAAGTCCCACCTTCCCCAGACGTGCCACAATGCTTCTGAACAGGTCGACTAAAAATGTCAACAATCTTCATATGGTACTTCTTTCGCTTTTGATTTTGAACTGCAGAATGGCTGACTGTATTTGGCATTGAGAAATGATAAGATCCCTCAGTGAGTAGGTTCAAGTAACTGTGATGACAGAAGATGGCAGTATTGAAATTGAAATTAAGCAGATTAGCTCTGGTTGGGGTAACTGGAAGAGATGCAGTGGAACATTTTCACTGAAATTGAAAGGAAGAATCTACAGGACAGTCATTGTTATATAGTGCAGAAACGTAAGCGTTATCAAGCGGAGAAGAACGATGACTGGATAGAAATAAGGTGTGAATACTGAGATGGAGCTATGGGTAACAAGAAAGGATAAGATCAGAAACCAGCACATCAGGGGCCTCGTTAAGACTGCAGAAACATTGTCGAAAATGACTGAGAAGAGATTGAAATGGCTGTCTGCTGTGACAAACAGAGAGAAAATGTAGTGCTGCAAGTGATGGAGATAAGATTGCCAGTAGAAGACAGAATAGGAAGGCCCATGACCAGATGGAAATATGCAGTGGCAGGAAGGCTTTTTTTAAAAAAAGCAGAATTGGAATGGGAAATGGGTGACTGACAGGAGGAGATATAGAAGGGTCATTGCAGCAACCCCAAGTAAAACAGGAGAATCTAAATGAAATGTGATTACTTAGTGAGACCACGTACAAACTATACCAGTCACACAGATCAGAAGGTTCCAATTGCCACAACACTGACGAATTAGTGGGGCTTGGCTGTAGTTGCACTTGGATGGTCTTCAGCATCCCAGACTTGGGAGAAGACAGCAGCATAGTGAAAACGTTATGGGGCTAGTAATCCAGAGGCTTGGACTAATGCTCTAGAGACAAGTTCAACTCCGAGCATAGACGCCAAGGGAACTTAAATTCAATGGTGAACGTGGAACAAAATACCAGTCTCATTAATAATGCTGGTGAAATTGCTGGATTATCATATAAATCCATCTGGTTCACTAATGTCCTTTAGAGAAGGAAATCTGCTGTCTTTATCTGGTCTTATATGGCCCATTTGCAACTGCAGACCCACAGCAATAAGTTCGACTCTTAATTGCTCTCTAAAATGGCCTAGCAAGCCAGTCAATTCTATTACACAACAGGAAAAAAAGCACTGTGGGTTTACCTAAACCATATGGACTGCAATGATTCCAGAACAGAATTCACCACTATATTCCGGTAGGAATGGGTAATAAATTCCAGCCTGGCCAGTGATGGTCAACACCCAGAGAACAATACAAAAAAAATAGGTTCAGGGATGTCTGGCCCTGTGCTACTCCAAGTGGTGCCATTATCCTTGGAATCCAAGCCCACAAATCCAATAATAAGATTGATGCTTACCTTCCTCATCATGTGAGCTGCAGCCTGCCACCCTCGCGTCCCGATGTGTTTGTTAAATGAGATGTTCAGCTGTGTGGCTGATTCATAATATTCTATCATATCAAACAATGCTGATGCACCCTGTAGAAATAAAAGTTAACATTGCTTGGCTAGCCTGTACAAATTTGAAAAAACACCTTCTATCATAAGGTTTTTCAAGGCATGTGCATTCATCAGCAGGGGCTTGCCCTCTGTAAGCAAAAGGAACACATCCAGGCATTTTTAAAAAAATTAAACTAAAGTAGAGGTCACGGGTCCTCGCACATTCTCCATGGCAATGACTTAGCTAATCAGAGTGATGCTCCCTTTGAAATTTGGCATTCTTGCATTTGTCCTGATGATTACAAGTTCAAAAGTCTCAATGTCTTTTTCTTTCACCATTACTCAGGTACTGATGTGTAAATATTAAGATAGCCAGTTTACATTACTGGAGCAGTGTTTTCAAATACATTTAGCGTACATGGCTATGACAGAATAAACACGAAAACACACTTGCTATTAGATTTAAAATGGTTCTGATGGACCAGAAACGTGAACTCTTCCATATCTTAAGCTGTTGATTCCAGGTTAGTCAAGTCCGCGGACCTAGCTCACTGGCAATCGGGGGGGGGGGGGGGGGGGGGTTGAAAGCATCATCGAAACTAATTAGCTGATAGCCCAAAAAAAAAAAAAAACTCATTGTCCAGCTATCTGGCACACAGGGCAACACTGCCAAGAACCAGGTACTGTCCATTATGTTGCTATCCAGCTGGAATCTCTCAATACAAGTCACTCATAGTATTTATGAGTACAAAGGGGGAAGTTTTATCCATGTTGCCAGCTGACAAGGCTGGGATAAATCCAAACTGGCACTTGCATAAACAATAATATCAAGATATGCTTTGTTTAAATTGGATCTAATTCAAATGTGGAAGTCAGCTGAAACCTAACCTCAAATATGCAGTGTAACCAAGGCGTTGTTATATAATACACATGCAAGAACAATATGAAGCAAAAAATATTAAAAATCTCAAAATACATCTGAAAATAAGTAAGCAGCTCACATCTTCATCCAGGTTGGTTGCCTCCAAATCCACCAGCTTAAACTGGACACGTTTGAAAACCTCTTCCAAGGCTTCAGAAGCTTTGTAGTCCAGTTTCTCACCTGTAAAGTGAATAAAAACCTTTTCAATAAACTCAGGGCTACCTCTGTTTGGTCATCCACCTGGTTAATCTTATCTTTAACTGGTTTACTTGTTAAAACTTCCAAGAAATATACATGCACAGCCATTCACCTGAAGCCTCTCTGTTTAAAATGTAACTGTACTCTTTGTTTTACGGATTTCTGTGGAGTTATGGTCTGGCAGGCCCAGATTATCCTCTGCAATGTCCTCACATAGACTCAATTTGAAGAGGAGACACCACACTCAAGTTCAATTCCCTCACTTGTACACCAATGGAAGATCTATTGTTAACTTTCAATCTGAGATTAATAAGAATTTTGTCAACCAAAGGCATTAACAAGAGATTTAAGTTAGGTGTATGAGGTTTGGTCACATATCAGCCATAATCTAATGGAAGGGCAGAACAGGCTTAATGTTCTAAGTGGCCTTTTCTTAAAAAAAAAAATCATTCACGAGTTGTGGACATCACTTGCAAGGCCAACATTCACTGCCCAACCCCACTTGTGTTTGAGAAGATGGTGGTGATCTGCCTCCTTGAACTGCCGTAGTCCATTTGGTACGGGTAAACACACATCAGTGCCGTTCAGGAGGGAGCTCCAAGATGTTGGTTCAATGACAACAAAGGAACAGCTATATCGTTCCAAATGTGGAATTGATGTTGTGCAATCTGAAGGGAAACTTGCAAGAGGTAGTATCCCAAACTGTCTGGTTTCCCTGCCCATTCTAGGTGGTGCATGTCTCAGGTTTGGAAGGTGCTTTGGATGTACCCTTGATGAGTTGCCGTTCCTTGGTTCCCTGCGGGTGTCACCCTATAGTAAACCTGCACAGGAAATCCTGGTTGAACTGTCTTTGCCAATCCGGATGCACTGGAACAGCAAAATTAACTTCCCAACTGATGTTTCCTCAAACTACAACTCCAGCCATCAATCCTCTAATATGGATTTTGGCATTAACAGGGTTTTCCTTAGTTCTGGCATGTTGTACATCAGACTACCAGTGTATTACACTGATAATGAACCTCATTGGGAGAAGAATTGCAACTTTCTCCAGAAAAGCATATGTGTTAGAAGAAGAAACTCAGACCAGCTTTCATCACGATCCAAATCCTCCCCCTGGTTTTTTGCAACCCTTTTGATAAAGGCGTTTTCAACAAAAAGGTGCTTTGGAGCCAACATCAGAAACAATACTAACAGTTCCTTCCAGTGTCTCAGCAAGCACCAATCTGTTTGGCAATAAGCCAAGGTAAACCAGAGGCCCCAAGATGAATTCTCGTCTGCGCCGAGTTTAGATTGCAGCTGGGATGTGCTGTTCAGAGTGAGCCGGGTTGGGGAAGGTGTGAAAATGTCAAACATCCTGCTCTGAATGCTAATTAATTAGTCGTGCTGGAAAGGACCAAGAGAACGTTTGGGAATGAGTTTAGGATTGAATTCAGCTCTGATGCTTCCCAAAGTTGAATAACTGGCTGATGCTTCCTGCCTGGGATCACTTGCACGGAAATGACACGTGAAACTGAAGGCAGGAAGAGACCAGCTACCTCACGCGTCATGAGGACTGGAACATGACTCCCAGTAGAGGCAAGCGAAACAGAGAAAAGGGCTTAGACCATAAGGAGACAAGTACATTGCAAAATTCTTTTCCAAACTCCTCATGCGATTAAAACCAGTCCAGGAGATTGCAAAGACTAACTGTGTATATAAGATTTTCATAGATGACAATCTTTTGTATAATTGTGAAGCAGACAACTGGGTTCAGGTCCCTCTTGATGCATAAGGTGAAGGGAGTCCAAAACTAGATAGCATAGGTTTAAGGTGAGAGGGGAAAGATTTAAAAGGAAACTAAAGGGTAACTTTTTCACGCAGAGGATGGTGCGTGCATGGAATGAGCTGCCAGAAGTGGTGGTGGAGGAGATTGGTACAATTACAATATTTAAAAGGCATATAGATGGGCACACGAATAGGAAGCGTTTAGAAGGATTTGGGCCAAATCCTGGTAAATGGGACTAGATTAATTTAGGATATCTGGTAGGCTTGGACAGGTTGGACCGAAGGGTCTGCTTCCATGCTGTACATCTCCACGGCTCACCACACCAGCTAGATACCTCAATCCCGAGGTTCACTATTCATTGGGAATAGATGAACCACACAATTACTGATTCATTCTGACACTTGCTGAATTTAAACCAGTGCTTTGACTCACCCCAAACAAACAGGTGAGATGTTTGACGTCTGCTAGTATCAACAGGAGCATAAGTCAATGCAATAATGAAAATAATTATATACTATTCAGGACAAACAATCTAAGCTTCTACGACTGTGCTGTTTCAAAGTAATGTCCCTTGCAGCCTCCCCAACCTAGAAATTTTATTGCAGTTACTTCACATCCATGTAGTTTTTGTCAAAGAGAAGACTCTTCACTATCATCCCAGAGATGCAATAAACATTCTGGTATCAGCCTTACCTTTCAGATCCAGGCAGTCCAGCCTCTGCGAAAGTTCTTTAAACTCCTACAAAACAGGAAATATAACCTATAATTACCTGCAAAACCAACAACAATATGCATCTATATAGGGCCTTCCTAAGGTGCTAGACAGTCTCAACAAAATTTGACAAAACGTCACAGAAGGAGATATTAGGACAGATGACCAAAAACTTGGTCAACGAAGCAAGGTACAAGGACATTGCAAAGGGTGCAAGTGAAATATAAAAGCAGGGAGTGCAAGGAAAGAATTCCAAAGAATTATAGAAGGCATAGCTGCCAACAATAGTGCTATTAAAATCAGGGGCATTTAAGGAGGTCAGAGTTGGATTTTGTAGGATGTTGGACAGGACAAGGCTACGTGATAGGGAGAGTCATGGGTATAGAAAGAAACAGGGTTGAGAACTTTAAATCAAAGTATTAATGGAAGAGAAGCCAACATTGGTCAGCTACCACAACAGGCAATGGCCAAATCAGATTTGAGATATACAGGTTTAAGACTTTTAGATGAGCTTATGTTTGCACAGGTTGCAAGACAGAAAGGTCAGAAAAACGTTGGAATATTCAAGTCTGAAAGGTAACAAAGGCAAAAATGAGGGTTTTAGCAGCATATGAGATGAGACAGCATAGAGTTGGGTAATGTTATAGTGATGAAAGAAGGCAGACTAGTCAACATGGTTGCTTATAATGATGTCATTTTCACTGCGTTGAGGGGTGTTAGCAGTATCACAACATTCCTATGTCAAGGTGAGTCTTCAGAAGGACCAAAATAGATATTATTATTTGACAGGCAAATTTCAGCCTCAGACAAAAGCAGAGAGGATTAGTCATATAGGACCTGAAACATTAATTTTTTTCTGTCTCCACAGATGCAGCTAGACTTGCTGAATTGTTCAAGCGCTTTCGGGTTTTATTTCAAAGTTCCAATCCCTGCTTGGTATCTCCCCTTGTTGAACCAGTCAAATCTAGACACTCCACTTAAGGATATTGGAGGTACAAGTTCGCCTCACACTGTATTATAGCTTTCTGAAGTACTTGGTCATAGTAAGGTTGCGCTAATATTATTTGGGTTTGTCATTACCAGACACAATACAGCACTTGGAGTTTGGTTCCCCATGACTCTGATTAAATTATTCATCGATCAAAGGCATTTGACAAAAGACAATGGCAGTGGTTTCACTAAATATACAAAGACGTGAAAGGATGAAGGCATTTATCTTTCAGTTCACAACCTCAAATCGTCATAAATAACCTCTCACTAATTATGTAGTTTTTAAAAGTGCAGTTATTTGTATGCAGCAAGGTCCTGCAAACTATGAAATTTCCCATTTTAGTGATGCTGCTTGAAGGGTAAACATCTGCCAGGATACCTGCTGTTCTTCAGAGTAAAACAGATTCCTTTACGAGACAGCAGACGCAGCTACAGTTTAACAAAAACAGAAATTGCTGGAAAAGCTCAGCAGGTCTGGCAGCAGATGTGCAGAGAAATCAGAGTTAACGTTTTGGGTAGAGTGACCCTTCCTCAGAACAGAGGAAGGCTCATTCAGGGACGCCAGCAGACTTGCTGAACTTTAAATTTCTGTTTTTGTTTCTGCTTTACAGCATCCGCAGTTCTTTCGGTTTTTATTTAGCTACAGTTTAAAAGCTCCAACAGGACTGCAGTTTCAAACTGGATTGTGTGTTCAAGTATCTGAAGTAAGTATGAGTCTCAAGCTCGTTAAATCAAGAATGGGGAGTTAAAATCTGGTCACAAGTCTAAAAGGGTCGACCTGAAATTTGCCCCTAGACAGACAACTACTTGCAAAACATGAGCTCCACCTCTAGGAGTGAAGGCAAGTTATCAAAGATATGCTGGCTCACTAAAATATAAAAGCATTCTCACGTGCTCTGCTGTTACTAGAGGAATATATTTCACAATCAACATCCTTGGTGTAACCACTGATCACAAACTGAACATGAAATAGGAACTAAAGTAGACCATTCAGCTCTTTCACCCTGGTTACGTGGAACAATCCCTCTTCCGTACCTACACTGGCCCTAAACCCCATCTCTTCCTCCGTTACATTGATGACTGTATCGGCGCCGCCTCGTGCTCCCACGAGGAGCTCCAACAGTTCATCCACTTCACCAACACCTTCCACCCCAACCTTAAGTTTACCTGGACCATCTCTAATACCTCTCTCCCCTTCCTGGACCTCTCTGTCTCCATCTCGGGCAACCACCTAGAAACCGATATTCATTTCAAGCCCACCGACTCCCACAGCTACCTAGAATACTCCTCCTCCCACCCACCTTCCTGCAAAGATGTCATCCCCTATTCCCAATTCCTTCGCCTCCACCGCATCTGCTCCCAGAATGAGGCATTCCACTCCTGTACATCTCAGTTGTCCTCGTTTTTCAAGGACCGTAACTTCCCCCCCTCAGTGATCGAGAACGCCCTCAACCGTGTCTCCCACATCTCCCGCACCTCATCCCTCACACCCCGTCCACGCAATAAGAACCAAAAAAGAATCCCCCTCGTCCTCACGTACCACCCCACCAACCTCCGGATCCAACGCATCATCCTCCGACACTTCCGCCATCTGCAATCCGACCCCACCACCAAAGACATCTTTCCCTCCCCACCCTTATCTGCTTTCCGGAGGGACCACTCTCTCT